CGGTGTAGCTGCAACAATAAGCGTGTGTGCCTATTAGTTCATCTACTGTTCTCACTCATTTGTTTTAAGTGGGTGCAGAGGTTTTTCTTCAGCTCGTGAAGGAATTGCTAGCTCTGTGGCCTCTTGGTGGGTTTGTTTTTTCTTCTGTGGCATGGGTCAGGAATATTCACTTCATGAAATCCTTTAATTTGGCTGAAGATAGACTGCAAGTGATTGCCAAATTCTGCTGAAGCAGTGGTCGTGTGGGCTCAGAAAGTCTCATGCTTGCTCAGGGCTTCCGTTGCTCTCCAAACCATCCTCATGCACATCCACACTGTATTCATGCACGTGCTCTCTTGGAATTTTACATAAATATTTAACAGAATACTAATTACTCACATAGCTTCAAGGTAGATTTCGCTCTAAAAATTAAATAGATTTCTTGTCTGCAAGACTGCAATTGGGATGAAGAAGTGACCTGGAATTTGCAGACAGGCTTTGTTGTACCCATAACCTGCACAGTGCCAACATCCACTGTTGAAATTGCAGTTTACATCTGTTTGTAAAACTTATGTCTGTAGCAGAAAGAATAGTGAAGTTGAAACTGAGGGGGATATATTTAATTATGAGGTATTGCCTAGAAATCGTTTCTGGAGCATCACAGATTAAAAATTGTAATTCATTTCAAAACTGGTTCATCTGACTTCTCTCAGTACAAGAACAAAATAGTTTGTCTTTTAACTGTGAATTTATTTTTACCATTTCTGCTAATGTTATATGGGCAGGTACAAAAAAGTTATCCAGGTGCTAATTAAAGTAGCTGTGATACTGTTTACAAAAAAATTCTAGTTTGAGCCTTTTTTAACCTAAAATCAGAGCATGCTGTGGCAGAATTTCTCAGAGAATGATGGAGGTGGGAAGGCATGTTGAGATCTTCTAAATCTCTGCTCAAAGCAGGGGGTCACTGGAACTGGTTGCCCAGGACTGTATCAAATTAGGTTTTGATTATCTCCAAGGATGGAGACCCCACAGCTTGTTCCAGTATTTGATCACATTCAGAGTGAAGTTTTTGTTCGTACATTTAAATGGAATTTCTTGTATTTAATTTGTGTCTGCTGCCTCTTGTCCTTTGACTGGGGACCACTGAAAACAGCTTGTCTCCATCTGTGCACCCTCCCTTTGGGTATGGGTAAGAACCCCCAAAGCTTCTCTTCTCCAGGATGAACAGTCACCTCATATGAGGTGCTCCAATCCCTCATTCATCTTCATGGCCCTTTTGTTGAATTCTCTCCGTTACATCCATGTCTCTCTTGCACTGGGGACCACCAAACTGAGCCCCACACTCCTCCAGATGTGCCTCATCAGGGCTGAGTAGAGGGGGAGGATCACCTCCCTCAGCCTGCTAGCAGTGCTCTTCCCAGTGCAGCCCAGGAGACTGTTGGTCTTCCTTGCTGTGATAGTGCTTTGGTTGCTCATGCTCACTTTGCTGTCCACCAGGACCCCTAAGTCCTTTTCTGCCACAGTGCTTTCAGGAAATGCGGACACCAGCCTGTTCTGGGGTGTAGGGCTGTGCCTTTCCAGGGGCAGGACTCTGCACTTCTTTTTGAACATCAACAGTAAGCTTGAAAAGGAGTTGGTAACGGGTGACACTTACGATGCTGAATACAAAGCAGTTCCCTCAGTGGTCAGTGAAGAGAGCTCAGAATATTTGCATAAATACTTGTGCTTTCTCAGAACGTGTACATGAGTTTTACGTAAACATTTTAATAGAAGATAGGATGCTGAACAGCATCTGAACTGCTTGGGTTATACAGTGCCTCTGAGCCATGCATCCGGAATTATTCCACACTTGCACTAATTGACTGTGAAGTCATTTTGGTGCTCAATAGCAAAGTCATTAAGTCTACCAAGTTCTTTCATCTCCATCTGGCTGTCTCAAGTCCTTTGCACTACCCTACCAACCAGCATCCTTTCATTCTTTTACGAAATCAAGCTTCTATTAGAAACAGGAGGCTTACCTCTGAGCTGATTCTAAAACTGAACTTTTGGAATAAATGTGCAGTAAAGCTTTTGCTTTTATTTTCTTTTAATTCCAGGAAATTTTAAATTAGAAATCCCTAGGCATTCTGTCTTGCAATTAAGTTCTATCCAGCTGTTGCTAATACAGTCTGAAATGCTCAGGTTATTTAGCTGGTTTTTATCTACATTGATGAAATTGGAGCATCGTGTTCATTTAAGAGCTAATCCTGAGCAGCAGAGCATAAGTCGGTTTCTTATGGTTTGTCTGGACTTTATAAAGCTCAGTAACACTTTGTTGTAGAAATTCAGAAGGCTTTGTTGTTTTCAAAGGAGGACAGAATATAATGTGTATTGGAGCTCTCTACCCCTCTCTGGCTGCAGACAGTGGTGATGTGAGCTTGCTCAGCACACTCTGGGAGGGCACTTCCACCGCAAATTAGAGAAAATACCTGGGGATTGAATGTTTGTGCTTGCTCTGTCCTTAACTCTCTCTGCAGGTTAAGAAGTGTGTACTTAATGGTTTGGCTTTCTGTGATAGCTCTTCTGCAAAGAGCTAGCATGTGTCACAGGGCTGTTGAGCATGAAAGGGAGCAACGTGCTGTGGCTCCACAATGTGCCTCGCTTAGGTCTTGCACCATGACCCCCCAGGAGAAAGGGTGAAGAGCTAACAGGCCAGGGGAGGCTGTCCTAGAAGAGCTGAGCAGCTTCTCCCATGCTTGCTGCTTAGAGAAAGTCCAGCACTGCCTTCAAGTAGAAGAAGGGTAGTTGGCAGAGGGGGCAGCTGCATCGACCAGCCGAGGCTTTACATCTGAAGATCCATAGCTTGTTTTATAGCATTTAATTTTCAATTGATATACTGAACTGCATCTTGCAGGAGTGGAACATAAGAAGACATAAGTAGAATCATAGATCAGAATAAAAAATTTAGAATTCCCTAAAGAATTAAATAGCAACAAAACATCTTGGCATTTTTCATGTTTTTCCACAAATTATTTATTCTTTGCTAATCTAAATATAATGTAAAAAGAAATTTAATTTCAGGCATGTATACAAAGTTGCATTTTCCCAACTTTAGCAAGTTTGTGTACTGTATCTGAAATCTGCTAGAGGTGAATTTATGTATGTAATTATAAGGATATAGGCATGGAAGTGATTGGTCTGCAGGTACCAATTGAAAAAAAAAAAATATATATATATTTCTTATGTGTCTCATTTTAAGGAGCATTGAAAAGGAAGGTGGACATCTTACACAGAAATGCTTACCTGAATCATCTGAATTATCAAGTTGTTTATTTATGTTCTGTTGGCATTAGGTGACCCAGTTAATACAGAGTTATCCTTAGAGGCGGGAGAAGATGCTTGTTACAGAGAGAGGCCTATAACCAAATCAGAAAAGCCTAAGCTAGCTTGATTAAATAAGCCATTGCTGCTCTCATTTCCCATTGCTTTTTGTCTCCCCAAAGGGACCACTATACACAATTCTAGGTCAGTGAGACTGTGGGAGCTCTGTGGTTTGGTTATATGGACAGCATCACAAATCATCTTTCTCCTCCTCCTGCCTTTCCCCACCTTCTTGTGATTTCATCCTAGTTACACCTTTGTAAAACATTGGATTTTGATATGAATTGCTTTAATAAAGTGTTGTATGACACTGGGGGTACATTGTGGAAATGACAACTTAGAGGAATTTGTAGTGTGCCATAAATCATATAATGGTATGGGAAGAGCACTGGCAAGGTGTGGGGTGGAAGGCAGCTGCTGAGAAAGCTGGGGCAAATATCTCCAAAAGTGGTGACTGCAAGCTCGGAGCTCAGCTGGGTGCTTGCTGGTTTTGAGCTTTCTCCCACACCCTGTGTGGCCCAGGCTTCAGAGCCAATGGCATTTGATGGAGGGGAATGGCCATGGAGCCCATCAGCAGTCCAGACAGCTGCTTTGCTGTTCGTAAGGAAGAGTGATAAATATGGGTGCTGGAAAGCAGGACTTCTGATTCATATGCCTGCCCAATAAATCAAATAAAATAGGTCAGAGAGGAGGCTGAATATCTGTTCTGTCTTCTTAACCAAAGTTATTTTTTGTACCAGATGTATGTCCACTACATCTGAAATGTATTCCTAGTTGGTGAGAATAAGGACAAGACTGAGAGTAAGATCTCAGTGCCTGTGGAAGCCCAACCAAGGGAACAGCTGTGAGCCCGGCACTCATGTAATGGGACTCAGCAACTAAAACAAATAGCCAGCCAAAAGGAGAGGGAAGATGGAGAGGCAGAGCAAGGTGTGAGGTTCATATGAAGGCACTGCAAAGGCAGTTTAACGTAAGTGTTCCTCTGCTTGGGCGTTTGGTGCCACAGGCTTTGTGAAAGAGAGTACCTGTACACATTCATTACTTGCTGTTTTTGCTGGTAAAGATGTTGTTCTGTGTTTTGTCAGATCTGCAGTGCAAGTAATTAAAAACAAATAGCAAAAAACTAAGCAGATCAAAACTCATCTCTTGGTTACTATGGTAACTGCGAGTTCACCGATGGATTTAATGCTGCATGCTCTGTCTGAATTTCAATGTCCTTGTCTTAGGGATGGTTTACATTTAAAAATGAGGAAAACAAAGAAGCAGTTTAACTAAGTTTATTCCTAGTCTGTCTTTCTCCAGGGAAATTTAAGATAGATACATACACTTAATATTGGGTTGGAGAAGTGGTCTGTTGTGATCCTATTTTTTAAAGCTGAAAGCTGCTGTGAGCTAAGGGAGCTTTATATTCTCATTTCACTGTTTATTTATTTTAGTTTCAGAGTTACTTCACTCTCAGTAATAAACTTAAACTGCTAAGAAATGTGGGGTTTTGCTTTCCCAAGGTATAGTAGCACTGGAACTTCCTCCACTGTCACCTTGAAGTAAGAGAGAGAATGGCTGTCTGTAAAACAAATACTTTTGTTCTGGTACTGGGTTAATAGGAATGTGCTTAGCACAGAGAGAAGTCTTGATCATTATTTATTTACTGTATTTTTCAGGTGCTGCTAAATCCAGTCCAGCTTCTAAACCAGGATCAACACCTTCTCGCCCATCTTCAGCAAAAAAAGCTGCACCAAGCAGCTCAGCATCCAAATCAGATAAAGATTTGGAAACTCAAGTCATACAGCTCAGCGAACAGGTAAATTTCCTTTAGGCATAAAATTCGATGCCTTCATTGTCACAGGCAGGCATGAAATCTAATATTGCCCTCTGTTGAATGATGCTCTCCAGAATTATGAAGGGACAAAAGATTGAAATAGCTCAGCTGGGAAGAAGAAAAAGTGATTTATTGTTTAAAATAACATCTGACAGAGATGACTAGTGTGTGCCAGTAATTTTAAAAGATGATCTTAGAAAAGACAGGTAAGTCTTGCTGAAGCATCATACTTTTATTAAATGTTGAAATATATCTTTAATTTCTCTTGGTTAGGAAAAATCTCATTAGGGTCTTTGCTCTTGTGTTTTATAAATTTGAAACAAATTGTTTTAATATGTCATTGTGGAGAAAGAAGCCTGTTTGTAATAGCAAGGTGTTAGAGATTTGCAGGGGAAGGGAGACTAGCTCATTGCACCCTTCTTTCTGGAAGGGAAGCACTAAGAAGGTAACACGCTTTCTAAAAATGTCAACTACTTGGTGAAAATAGTTATAATTAATGTTCTGCAGTGTAATTAATAAAGCTTCAGAATTTCTTTAATGTTCAGAATGTAGGGGCTAGATTTTTACTTATGCTGTGGAGCTTTACACATTTTATCTTTCCTGGACATGCAAGAGCGTCTGCACTGGGCATGAAAAAATCTCTATATCTGGCTCAAAACTGTGTTGTCAGAATGGTGTAAATGTCACTAGTATAAATGAGGCCTGATCCCTGCATTTATCCTGGATGAGGGAAAGCAGAAAGGAAAAACCTCAGAGTCTGAGCTGCCTGGCAGCCACCTTCAGCAAGAAGTTGTTGTTCTGTATCAAGTATAATTTTCCACAATTAAGGGCATTGCACTTTCAGACTTGTTAATTAACTTGAAGATTTCAGTTTGTTGGGGCACTGTTTGCAAATTCTTGGTTACTGTTATTATGCACTTAAAGGTGGTGGATGGATAGCACAATGTACTGTGGATTCAGAGTATCATTCTGAGCTTGAGCAAGCACACCAGGCCCACCAGCCTTCCAAAGGGGCTTTTGCATTTTTGTGTATATTTTCCATGGAATCCTTTTTCTTTTTTCAGTTAATTTAAGGGTGGGTTTCAAATCTCAGCTTAATGCAAATTAAATCATGACGTTTGTACTCAGAAGTCAGAATGCGTTCACTTCAGAAAGAAGAGGGTTTTTTTGTTCTGAGCAACATAAAAATATTTGATCTTTACTAAAATAGGCAGATCCTACCACATCCACTGCTAATGTATTCTTAGCACATTCCATGTGTGAAAACCTTAAGCTTTATATACAAATAACCCTGAGGGAAAACTGGTTATTTCCCCCATCACCAAAGAAGAGAAGAAATTTTAAGGATCTAGAAAGTTGGTGTTTTCATAGCGAGTTTATAAGAGAACAAGCTAGAAAGTCTGGAAGGCTTTTTTTTTCCAACTGGCAGCATTTGGTATTTCATTTCCCAATAATGGTTACTTGTGCACCCTGGACGTATAATACAAGCCATAAAACTGTGCTGCAAGCACCTCTGAGCTGGGTTTTTCTGGCCCCAGGTTAAGCATGCTGGAAGAGCCAAACTGCCCATTTTTTACCACTGTCCAGCACCAGGGAGGTTAGGGCAGCAGCCACTTTCACCCCTTTGCTGTGTTGATTACGAGTAAGAAATGTTGAATGGTGTCTGTGGATATCAAATTCCAGTGTGGCTCTAGCAGTTGGATTTTTTCAGCCCTTTCAGGAATAACAGCTAAAGGAGATTGAAACATCTGCATTTCCATGCATTTTATAGAGGAAAAAATGAAGTAGTGAGGCTATCCAAACACTGGGTTACTTAATGAGTTATTTGCAATAATCATAAGCCATCTACAGCATTTGCTAGTTTAATGACTCCCAACAATCTTAAAGTCTCTCTTAAAATGGTCTGAGCTATTGCCTGAGTCTGTGATAGTAAACGAAACATATCCAAGGAATGTTGCTGTGCACTGGAACTTAATTACCCCTAAGCATTAAGATGCTGAAGTAGTCCCTGCTGTGGTTTTGGTCTCTGCCAGCTAGTACTCTCCCAAAGAGTTTAAGTGAACTTGAGGAGGTGACACAGGCCAGGAACTCTTACATATGGGGAAGGGACCTTCATATATGGTGACTGGTCCCAGAAACCAGGAACTGTATGTTACTACACACCTAGTTTCTGAAAACAGCACCACACTGCTTGTGTGTCTACAATATGCACTTAATCTCCAACCTGGCCCTGCAGCCCTGTGGATGTCCACACTGCCAGTGTCATCAGAGCAAAGACCCATTAGCAAGAACTGGATTGCAGAGGGGTACTTGTGGTCCAGAAACAGCACAGGAGTTAACATGCACTGTCCCTCATACAGGATCAGCCTTTTAGCATGTAAATAGAAGGAAAATGCAGCACATGGATATGCTAATTACCTGAAGAAAAACAAATTAATGTGTCACAGAAAAGTAACTGGTACATAACTGGAGAAAAGAGTCTCTGCTTTGGTTATAGCAGTGTTTACTATGTGCTGTAGTTCATTAACTCTGTGCATATATGCATAGTTTAATGGTTCTGCTTCTTAAAACAGAGTGAATATATAGAATGAAAACAAGAGAATGCCTTCATAGTAAATAGGTCAGAAAGGGAGACAGTCTGAGCTAGTAGCTGCCAATGTTTCTGCTGAAGTTCCTTGTTTTCCCAAGGTCTATAAAACACAAAGGAAGAGATCTGGAAGCACTTATGTTCTTCTGTCTGGATGCAGGCATTGCTCTCAAGGAATATGCTGCTGCAGATCTTGAAGACATGTCTTAAACGTGAGGTCTTCAACTATAGACCAAAATATTGCAAACTCTTGTTCAGTTTCGTTCTCCCTAATTTGATGAATAAATATTTTTGAAGTAACTGGTTATTGTATCAAGCATAGATTCAAACTGTCAAGGGAAGACGTGGGTGTCACACTTGGGCAGCTGGTCAGAAATGGGTTAGTGAGAGGCTCTGAGATCCTGCCCTGGTGACAGGTCAGTTCTGCTGTCTGACACCTCCAAGAGTGCAATCAAAGGTCAGCAGAAGGCATTATGAGCTCAGGAGTTATGGAGAAATGAACTGATAGGATTTAGGAGGCTGTCAAAGCATTGTTTGAACTCTGCTCGTGTTTTTACTAGTGAAGGAAATAAATTAGTTTGCAGTAGGAGTGGCATCACTGAAGTTTCTATTTATCCATTCACTGAAATGTAGTTTGATGTGATTTAATTTGTTTGGCATGTTCTATTTAGAAAATCAGTTGTATAATTGCAGGCCTTAAAAAGTGAATGTTAATTTGGCTGCAATTTTGATGTGATTGGGGTCAGTGTGTTTACTGTAGGCAGCTTCATTTCTGATTATTTTTATTGGTTGTTAAACTGCTGTCCTCAGAATTTGAGAGCTACTTACACAGTATCTTGATTGTGTATACCCTGTTGGACAATAGTTTATCTGTTATGCTCCCACAAAATTACTGTTTTTAATATATATGTATATATGTGTGTGTGTATGTATGTATATAGGCACGTATGTGTAAAAATACATTGCAACATGTCATGATGTGTATGAAGCCTAATCATTAACAGCTGTGTCACCCATAAATGATTTGCAGCAGTCCTGGTGATGAAATTGAAACTGAGAGTATAGCTTGAAGAGTCTTGTGAACAAGGTGGCAAAGAGAAATATACTTGGCATTTGAGAAAATTTGTTGATAGAAACAGCACATCAGTCAGAGCAGAAATTCCATGGGGCAGCCGGTCATGGCATCAGAGAGCCAAAAGACAGGTCTCTTAACAGTATGGTAAGTGGAGAGGCAGAAAAAGAGAGGCAAAAGACCAAGATGGCAGTGTTCACATTTGCAACTAGGGGACCTTTAAATGTCCTAACTAGATCGTTGCCCTGTGTAAGCTTTTCTGCTGGATCTGTGTATTTTTAGGCAAGGAGATACTGTATGTTTCCCAAAAACTACACATTAATCCAGGCAAAATAATGCAGGTACTAAACTGAAAGTTTTATTACATGACCATTATGTGACATTTCTGGCAGCTTTGTTAGGAGACAAGCTGTCAAGGTTTGACTCTGGATTGGCAACTAAATGGCCAACAACAATGCTCTCAGTCCCCTCTCCCTCTCACCCAGGTAGGCAAAGGAGAGAGAAAAATGGGAGAGACACCTTCCAGATTGAAAACTAAACTAGGCAGCTTTAATTAAATACTAATGAAAAAAAAAAAAAAATAAATGTAGAATTATATACAAGTATGTGCAGGAATGTGCAACACTCCTATCACCTCCCTCCACCCCCAGCGACTCCCAGGGCACCTCCTGAGCTGTGAGCAGTTCTGAAATGTCCCAGAGCTGCTGGAGAGAGCGGCAGAGCAGACAGGAGCTGAGGAGAGAGTGATAAGGGTCAGGAATGCACAGACCTAGGGATCAATGGTGATGGAGAGATGGAGTCCTCCCCAGATCCCGGCTGTGAATAGAAGAGAAGGGAAGAAGGGCTTGACTTCTGTGATCCCTGAATTTATACCATGTCACATATATATCTATATATCTGGATGGAATAATCTGGTTGGCCAGTTTTGCCATCTGTGCAGTCCACTCCTCCCTGCAGGAGGGTTGTACATACAGCTGATCTGCTCCTTTAGCGTCCGAATCAGCAGATCCAACAAGTGGAGCAAGGTGTCCTTGGTCTCTCAACAGTAACTATAAACGTTCCAGCATTATCAGTCCACTAGCTGGAAAACCTGCTGCTACTTTTAGCAATTGTGCTGCTTAAAAGAGAGTTCACTGAAGGGAAAAAAAAAAAAAAAAAATCAGTAGAAAGAAAATTGGCTTCATTCTGGCTCAAGCTGGAACACAAGTCTGAACTGCTGCTTTGGGTTTCAGTATGAAAGAGCACTGAGAAAATTGACCTTTAAGGATCAAGGTTAAGACAGATCCAAGAGGTGTAATGGGGGAGCGTGAGTTACTGTTCTCTATTGTGTAAGGTTTAATCTAGCACTTCAGGAAAGATAAGTTTTTTTTTAACTATGAAGTTCAATATATATTTAGGGTTGTTCAGCATGCATAATTTTAGACTGAGTTTTCTGTAGTGCAACCTCAAAACTGATGCATCACATCTTGGTTTCTGTGCAGGTACATTCATTAAAACTTGCACTTGAAGGTGTGGAGAAGGAAAGGGATTTCTACTTCGGCAAATTAAGGGAGATTGAACTTCTCTGCCAAGAACATGGGGGAGAGAATAATGGCCTTGTCAATCGGCTAATGGATGTCCTTTATGCTTCAGAAGAACACGTAAGTTCAAGCTTAATATCTTTTATTTTGACAAAACAGCTTAATTTTGTAAAAATGTATTAGCACAGTATTGGGTCGTATCCTACATTTAAGTTAACAAAACTGTAGCGGTTAGGATTTCCACTCCTCGCCCAAAAAGGAAGTTTGCATTTGCAAACAGCAGACTTTTCAGCCTGGGGAAGTGGGATTTGGGAGGCTGGATGCTTTTCACTGCTTCCAAGCAGGTTTTTTTATTCTGGGTTTGCTGAAGTTGATCTGAAAGGGGAGGATGTGTGTCATAATCCTAATTATTTTCTTTTTCCTATGGTTCGGAACCTCTCTAAGGTATGTTTTTTCATCTTTCACCTTTCTGTATAAAGTCTTTTACTCATGTTCTTTCCTGTGTTGAAAATCACAGAAATTCTGAGGGAAGTGTTGTTCAATGTCTATAGCTGTGAACCTTCTCTAGCCCATGTAGCAGTGTTGTAATATGTACAGTGCAGGTTGCCAAATACATAATTATATCTGCAGAGATAATGCTCTAGCATTTTTATCCTGTTGCTATAGGCAAAATTCTTCCTTGTGCAAACCCAATAATCCTCTATTGCCAAAATTTCAGAAGTGTATTGTCTGCAAGATTAAGCAAGAATCTCACTGCATCTTAGACTTAGCACTGCAGACACTGAACAAAGCAAGAAGCTGCAAAGAGTCCTGGTTAAATTCCTCAGAGACATTCAGGGATAATGATTCAGTGGAGATTAAGCTGAACTACTCCCATTGATGTTAACTGAATCCCTGTATGCACTGTACTGACAATTGACCCCTTCAGTCTCCAGCAGATGATGACTTTGGCTGCGGAGTGTATAATCATCAACTTAATCTCTGGGCAGCACTGTGGGACTGCAGGCTATCTTAGAGCTGTTCCCAGAAAGCTGTTGCAGCAGTAGTCAGCTGACTTAAAAATTTGTATCAAAAGTAGTGACAAGGAAGTCTGCTTTCTAAAAAGGACTAGAAGAGCAAAAATAGTTGCTAGGTGCGAGAGCTTCCCACTGCCGGGGGGCACTGCTCAGATGAGAAGTGACAGGGGAAGGAGGATTTGTTCAGTGGTACAGGGTGAGTGCTGGAGAGGAAAAGGAGGAGGAAACCATGATTTTCACAGAAATAAACAGTGAGACAAATCTGCCAGGCTCATGGTAAAAGGCTAAAAGAATTACATATATGTGTACACATATAGATATAGTAATCAGAGAAAATGTCTTCTGGATTCATGAAGAGTTATTATTCTTATATAAAACAAAGCCAAAAACATCCCTCTTCTCCCCATGCCCCTACCACATCTGTCTGTCTGATGGCTTCAATAGCAAGTGATTCCCCACCAAAGAATGCACTTGTTGCTTTTCTTTCTTCAGTTTTCCTTAATGACTGAACACATTAGAAAGTATTCTACTTCAGCTCACATCCCAGTGTTTTATCTGCTGCCTCCTTCCAAGCCTTTCTCTGTTGAAAGTATCATCCGTGGCTGCACATGAACTACACAGGATGACTGTGTCTTTATCTAAAATGTGTTTGCAGCTGGAGGCTGAGCATGTGGCTTAAGCAGAAGAGACCTGCTGCCCCAGAAGAGGGTACAGAGGCCATTCCCCATGCAGTTCTTGTCCTGCCTTTTAGTGGGAGAATTGATCTCATCTTCCAGGGTGCATTTCTTCTTTGGCTTAGCAGATGGACTGTAATTTGTGAGGAAAGACCCCAGCGCATTAGCACTTAGCCAAAGCCTGCTGTAGCAGGGGGGAGTGCAGAGGGTGTGGACCAGATGATCTTCAGAGGTTCCTTCCAACCCTGACTACTCTGTGACTGGGTTCCCTTGCTGGTGCAGGTCCTGCCTACTTTTTGGTTTTGGACTTAGCTGTTTCATTGCCCTGCTTTGCCCCACAGTTCTGTTTTTCTCTCTCTGTAATGAATTTGTCCCAAATTACATTCTGTATCTTGCAGCATTTTGCAGGTTAATTCCCCAGTAGCAGCAGCTTGTCTTTCCCAATCCCCATGTGGGATTGATCCCCAATTCCCAAACCCTAGGCTACTCTAGCATTCCTAGTTTCTTGCTAATGGGTTAATCATAAATCCAACTTAGTTTTGTTTTTTTTTATCTCCATTCCAGAGTGTCTCAGGTATACAAAGGCAAAGTGGAAAAAAGGGATTACATTAATTTTCAGGACTTGTGACGTTTATAAATGATACTGTAGCCATGAGGCTTTTCCTTGGCAAGGGAATGCACAGGAATGCAGCTCACACATACATACTGCACAAAGGGATCCTTGATCAAAGCTTTGTGCTTGAATATCGTTACTAACCTATATTTGTGTTCACCTCATACTTCCAGTAACTGTTTGAAAACAATCTTGGAGTCTTCCTTCCTGGCTGTAATTTGACAGGTATCATCTGTATTCAACATGGCATAGAGATTATGTCCTAGTTTTCTTAGCTACTGTTCTTATTCAGAAGGGACGAGTCTCCCTTTATACCTAATTTTCTATTGCACTTAATTCTCCTAAAATTAATTAAATAAATAAATATAAATCTGGACAGTGCTTTAAGTGGTTGCATCTCCCAGTAGCCATAGGTCTCCTGTGAGCACTGTAGGCTGTCAGGTGAATTCTGTGTAGAATGATTCAGAATGCAAGGACAAAGTTTAGTCTCTAACAGAAGCTTGGTTATCCCAGTATTGCACTGAAGAGGTTTTCATTAGGTTCATGTCATGGAGGTAGGTTTCTTTTTTCAGAATTCCAAAGTTACAGTGTATTTTCAACCATGTCACTTCATAGGCTTCTCTTTTGTTTAATACGATGAAGGCTAAATTATGAAGACTGCTGCTTTTTTTTTTTTTTTTTTAATTGTTATTTTGGTCTTGATTTCGATGAGGCTTTGAGTCTTACAGCACAAATATCAGTCCATTCAGGTTCCTTTTATTTTAGAGGCTCTCTTTTCCCCATTACGGTTCTCTTTTAAATCTCATCATTATGTCTCTGCTTATGCAAGAGAGATGTTGTATCTGCCATCGTCGTTTAAAGTTTGGTTGAGCAGTCTGTAATCTTTTGTAATTTTTAATTACAAACTGCTCGTTTGTAATCCAACTTCTTCAAATGCATCAAAGTTGACAGAATGTTGTTAAAAAAGGATTCATGTGGGTGGTGGGGACAAGTGGACCCTTGCACTCTTGCTGTGTCTGCTGTAGGGGCATTGAGACCTCAGATAGTATGTTACATACACATGATAGTATGTCATATGGTCTTAGAGTAGGAGAGCTTCAGAGTGATGAAGCAGAAGAGGTTAGGTGTCTAGTTATGAAACCCAGAGCCATGTAGGTCTTTGCTTGCAAGCAAAAGTGTAGGAACGCTTTTGCTTAGGCTGTTCTGGTTCAGTTCATGGAGAAGTTGGGTGAATTGGTGCTGTTTGGTCTATCAGTTGCTCAGTTCAAGTTTCCAAAGCAATTGCTCAAAATGCAGTTAGTTTTGTATCTTCCTGCTCTAGCAGCTACTACCTTTGCTGCTGCTACTTTTGTAACAGGCACCCACCCCCCCAGCAGCTGGTTTTCATAAAGTCTAGCTCTTCCAAGTCAACGGGCACACCTGAATAGTTTGAGGCAGATTGATCAAAGGGTCAAAAGAGAAAGCACCTCCCATCCTGGGAGAGAGATGACCATGGTTGTGTGATCTGAGCCAGAAATAAATGCTCTAAATAGATCTTCCACTACTTTCCTTATTAGGGGATGCTATTCAAGGAGATTCCAGAGTCCCAAGGTAATTAGGCATAATGAATCTTGTCTTTCCCACTTCATGTATTTATATAAGCTGTACATACTGAGAAGCACGTGTCCCAAGTCTCAGAACAACCCCTGAGGTAGTCACATGAGTTTTATCGTTTCCATCAAAGGTAAGTCTAGCGAAAAGGGAGCCACCACTCTTCTTCAGAGCTGCAGAGTAGGTTCCCAAGCCACTGCCTGTGGTTAGAGGCTTTTCTGTTATGCATGAAAGGACAGCACGTATGTAACATAAAATCTGCATGAGTGGGCTTTCTGATAGGTCACCTCCACACATAAAGAGGGTCAGGATAGGTGGGTCAAGGGAGTATAGCTCACTGTGCCTGAAAAAGCTTCATTTTTCTCACCCAGTAAGGCAGGGCCATATCCTCGCAGCTGTCAGCTTCTCTTTGTGAAACTCCTGTTCTCTGTAAGTCTTGCACCCTTGCAGCTCATTACAGAAGTTGTGATTTTTAGATAATACTCAAAAAGCTGTTTTGGTGTGATGTACCTATTGGAAGTAGCAAGGGCATCATTCCCCCCGAGGCACTGCAAGATGCCAAGCTACTGCTGCTGTGACTCAAGTGTGTGGCTTCTACCTTCAAAAAACACTTGGGTGACAGAAAGCTTTCAGTTGGAATTTGGCAGTTTCTATATGTGGTAATCAGCAGAATATTTCCAAATGTTAGGAACCATATTCTCCTGTTCTTGTCCTTTAGAAGTTTGAAATGTTATTGCCAGAAGGGAATTTGCTTATTGCATAAGCTGCTCTGAACTATTCTTGGAAAACCTAAATTATGGCCTCCCTTTTCATTTCATTTTTTTGCCTCAAATTTGAAAAGGTAGCAGTATCCATTTGTTAAAAGTTTGTTGTTCAAACCCCTTGCTTCTAAGGAGAGCTGCTGGGAGCAGGCAAGTTCTGCACAGGTACCATGTCAGGGATGCTATGTTTTGAACGGCAGCTCAGTCTCTTGGAAAAGCCTTTTCCTTTGGAGCTGCCTACAGGGGATAGGGCAGAGAGTAGATGTGTGTGATCTTTTCAGTGAACCATGCTCTGGAAAGATGGAAGCTACTTGAGAGAAAAGCTTTAAATGCAGCTGCACTTAATGGGAATACAGAAGTAATGGCTGAACAGTCAGTCAGACTTCTTGAGTCCTGACACATCCAGACCAACTCCAGATACCAGGTGTGTGGTCTCTAAATTGGAAATTGTGTGAAACTGATGTCACCTCCAGTGAGGATCCAGCCTTCTTTTCGGTCAGGGATTCTCCTCACAATGGCAATGTACATTCAGAGAGGCAGCTCTGGAAAATGCTGTGCATAATAACCATTTGCAAAAGCAAGTGTTTATTAGTAATTAGTGCTTTTAGCAATAAGTCTCTAAATCAGTGAATACTGGGTTTAGGGATTTTTCTGGATACAGCTAAAAGTTACTATTTTGATGGCCTTTGAACTCTAGCATCAGTATGTTATTTTGGAAACATAGTATATCTGACCTCAAAAAGGAGGCTGAGTTTCATTTCTAAAGCAAGTGACAGCAGATGTATCTTGTCCATTAAGTCATCTAAACCTAGAGTAAAGATTGTGTGAAAATTATAGCAGAGAGGTTCAGAAATTCTTGGACAAACTGGAAATGGGAGGACATCAGGATGGTATGATACAGCATCTAACTGTTGAGCATCTCACTGTCGAGCTGTTCAAAATGCTCACTTACCAGAACAGTTAACACTCAGTCATGTTGAAAACTGACACTTTTTCTAGGGGAGTATCCATATTGCACATGCATTGATTAAAAGCAAAGTAAATGCATGTTATGGTAATATTTCAGGATGCTGCTTTTCTGAGGTTATAACTCATATGCGTGAAAATTTGAGGTTAAGTTTTAGGCTACAGTGAGCACTAGGAGGGGGGGCAGCAAGATTACATGAAAACTGCTTTCTGCTGAGCAGTGTTTTGGGGTCTTTTTCTCCCTGCAGGAGAGCCACACAGAAGAGCATGAAGGTGAAGAGCAAGTCCATGAACAGCCCCAGCAGCAGGAGGAGTACTGACTCACCCAGCATCTCTTGACAATTTTCGTTTTGTGTGAGAACTTTCTTCTGGAGAATGGAACGTGTGTGGCCTCAAACTTGAAATCAGTTCACTCCCAGTCTGCCATTAACATTATGTACCATAGTGAGTGCCAGCCAACCACTGCATTCTGTACCCATACTTTGCCAAGATGCATTTGCAGACGTCTTCTTTCAGTGTATCTTCCCAAGAGGTTGTAGGGCTACATCACCTACTGTACATCACTGCAACTTCACCACTTGGCTGCTTGAGATTTGTTCTGCTCTTTAAGAAAAAAAAAAAAAAAGGATATTTATTTTTTTTTCTTTTTCGTCTTAAGTATGATACACTTGTAACTTGTTCTGACATATTTATATTGGCATTTTGTGTGGCAAGAAGTACCGTACCACTAGCTGTCTCTCTCACTTTGTGGTGCTTTTGCGTTTTCTCGTACATCTGCCTTGGGGCATAAATTTGGTCTAATAATTGGAATAAAGGGATACAGTGGAAGTCATACTCAAGCCATAATGATGAGGTGTGTCGTGAAGGAAAATGCTTGTGTTGCTCACTTCTATTCCTTTCCTGCCTTCACAAAATGGAAGGCAGAGCATCTGTTTCACTAGGAGACATTTAAACCCCTGTGTTAGAAAGCTTGTTAGAAAGCTGCGTGGTATGTTTTTTGGCTTGTTTCTGGAAGAACAGACATCCAATTACATTTTTTTAAAACCCTCCCAGTTTCCTGACTAGTCATACACATTTCCCAGCTTTTCTTCCCTCTTGTGGAATCCAGTCGCAGCCTCCAGCTTCTGCTCTGCCTCTGCAGAGCTCAGTGCTGATGGAGGAGAGAAATCTCCGTGACAAGTGTGGCTGCAGGACATGATTTGTGCCATCATACTTGGCTTCCCACCCCTCAGAAGAGGAAAAGCAGGCCAGCCATTTATTTTCACTGTCCTTCTCCCCTCTGCTTCCATAAAATTATTGAAGACACAAAATTTCCTCACTAGTGCAAGGCATGGGGTAAAAAGCAGCAACAGCACAAACCCTGAACCCCTCCCAAACTCCCTTTAAGTGGGCAGCAAACACCTTGCAGTTGTTGAGGCTGCTTCCGTAGCATGGAGAGGCAGGGAGGAGTCCTTGTGGAGACAAAGCACACACCAGAGGGGCACCAGCTGAGTGAGGGGCACGGAGCCAGTTCTGTGCTTGGCTGACCTCCCTCATGCAAGGCTGGCACGTGCAGAGCCACGTCTGCCCCAGAGATGTCTGCAGTGAGTGTTCCCTTCATTTCCTTCCAGCGCGGTCCCATCGCCCTGTTCTGAATGGTGGTATTTTATGAACCGAAGTATCTTGAAGTGTATAAAGCATTCCTTATTTTTCTCATAAAACTGTGCATTGTGGTCTCTCTGATCTTTAATGCTTGGTATTCTTGGTCTCTCTCACTCCATTTCCTTAATTCTGGATTGTGATGTGGGTTTAGCAGGTACATGGAAGTCCCATCCCAATCAGCAGTCACTGAGAAACTCAAAAGCCTATTGAACAGCTAAATCATCTTAGACTTTCGTGGGCTCCTAAAGCGTAAGTTCTCAGCTTGTGCTTCCATAGAAAGATTTTCAACCAATCAGCCCCCAGCACACACACACATGCGGTTTTCTGTTCCTAATGAGTCTTTTGCAGCTAAGTGGCTCTTAGTTAAATGTGAGATCCCTGCTGTTGTGTTGCACCACAGACAATATAGAAAATACTGTTAAGCATTAGAACAGATATTTCCCGTTCCCTGATCACTCTCCCTGCTCAACAGAAGAGTTTCTGGACCTGTGGGCTGAAGGTTTTCCATCCCTGCCTCCAGCATGGACTTCACTTCTTACCTGATGATAAAGTGCTGCAACCTGCAGGCCACCGCTTTTCTTTCCCATTTCAATTGGTTACAAATAAGCTCTGGTTTATAAAAATGTGTATATCCCAAAATTAGTATTTCTGAGAATCGCCACAAATGGAGGAATTGTCATTTTTGTTGTACTTGTGTTTATTAGAGCATATGTACTTACTACAATTGTCATTGTAATAAACGGTAGTTCTTCATAATACTGTTGAACCGAAGAGCAGTTACTAATTTTTTTCCACTCTCCAGAATGTCCTGGGTTTTCTGATGGGCCAAGGAGTTTGGGATCAGGCTATAAACCTAATTTCTTCAGCATCAGTCTTGTGCTTACTGCAGTTCATCCTTCTGCTAATAGTGGAGCAGATGCATGGAGAGCACTTCAAGAGAAAATGTTTTTCTGAAGGTGCAAACAGTGGGGTTGCTGAGCTTTCTGGAGGGTTTGTAGCCAGGCTGTTGTGCCTCTCTCCTTCACTCTCTTGGAAGCACATTTTTAAAAAAAAAAAAAAAAAAGAGCTGAATTTAATTTCCTGAAAATTCCTTACATCCTATTTCTGGCCTGAGGACCACAGCCCTCTCACTGCTTGTATCAAGGGGGAAGTGGCTGATGTAGGGAGCTGGGGCACTGAAGTACCTCATGGGCACTAGAAGTTTGGTTGTGCTGAGGGGAGAGAGCAATGCTCTGAAAGGGGAAAGAG